GGTTGGATGGGGCCCTGGGCAGCCTGGTCTAGCATTAAATGGGGAGGTTGGTGGCCCTGCGTGTGGCAGGGAAGTTGGAGATTCATGATCCTTGCGGTCCTTTCCAACTGTGGCTGTTCTGTGATTCATTCTGTAATGCAAATTATGTTTAGCAATAGCTGCTGCACAAGTTTCATACAGATTTCTTGCCAAGAAAGCATGCCTGTTTTGCCATATGCAGATGCAGCAGGAAACAAAGTGAAGCAGAACAGAGCAGCCGACAGCATCCAGTGTGTGCCTTCACCCACACACAGGCAGTGCCACTGCCCTGCCTTTAGGCTTGGATTGGGCAGAGAGCCTCTCCGTGCCTCCAGAACACAGTATGGCACACGACAGACAGCTGAGATGCGATACGATGGCATTTGGCAGCGAAACTGCTGCTGAGAACAAGAGCCTGCAAGAAAAATGAAGAGAAGACAGAAACGCCATCACATCTGGTGCAGAAGCCAACCGTGCCTCCTTGCCAGCTACCTGCTGATGCTGCCAGACCTGAACCTCCTGCCTCCAGCCCAGAAAGCCCACCACAGCAGTTAGCAATCTGCTCACACCCTCATTAAGCTGATCAGCTGATGGAAAAGTCTCTAGAAATGCCACAGTGCCGCTGCCCTGAGACAAATCCCATTCCTCCTAATGGAGACGATTAATACCTACTATGCCAGCATTAATTTGAATTTGAAGAAAAAAAAAAAAAAGAATTAATGCAGCAAATTGCTTCAGTAGGCAGCCTATAGTAAATATCAACCTGTTTCATCAAAGCCCTTCTTTCATTAGTCCTGGGTCAATTACATCAATTCTTTTCTGGGATAATCCTTCAGCTATTAAAAAACTGCTTGGAAAAAAACAGAAATGCTCTCTCACTTCTCATTGCAAAAAGCCTTTCAAATGATCACTGTTGAAGATATGGGGAGAATGGGACAGCTGCTGTTTGCCACAGATGAAGAGTCTTACCAAAAGAATGCAGAAGAGTCAATATTCTGTACAAGAGAAGACAAAGAAATGAAACTCATGTATAAAATTTAAAGTAACAATGAAAGAAGTTTAGGAAGAGGTAAACAAAATTGTTGGTGGGCTTCAGCTGTGGCACACGCAGGAGTTAAAGCGTGCGTCACCTGTCTGACCCGATGGGACACCATAGGGCAGTTTGCACTCCAGCACATCTGCCAGGCGTCCAGCATCAAGGATGGTCTGAAGAAACAAAACAAATGAAGCACAAAGTTCAGCAAAAAATAATCGTGCCACAAAGAGACACTCGAGCAGACTGGGAGCGACTGCACTGACCCAACGCGGCTCACTTGATTTTCTCCTAGATGAACACAGCTCTTGTTCTTTTCAAAGCATCGTCTGCAATTTGCCCAGCATTTACCCTCCTGTGCTCAACATACGCTCACGTCCAGCCTCTTCATTGCTGACATTGCTGCTGCCACTGCCCTGCTCACAGCACCTCCCCAGCAGAGCTGCAGGCGGGGATGGGAACAGCTGGGACACTTCTGCAACCCCAGGCACAAAGCCAGGCCTGGCTGCTGGGCCAGCAGAACCAACAGAGGGAGAGGCACTGCTTAACAGCCACGGAGGTACAGAAGGCATCCCTGGAGATGCCTTTTCCATGCAGCTTTTCCTTCCAGTTCAGGCTGGCAAACGATGTACACAGCTCCAGAGGAATCGGCTATTGCTCAAACGCCTCGGGCCACCTCTCTTTTTAAAGCAGAAGGGAAGCTGGGGTCTCACT